TAGGAACTTGGAATAAGAATTCCTAGACCACTGGGACACGGACCAAGCAGATTCATCCCTGAGAAGGAGGTGTGGTAGTGTTTTCAAGTACATAGTGAACTTTATGCTTTTAAGGAACATCATTTTAGTAGTAGCCCACATTAGTTTCAGGACAGCTGCTGATCTGCAAAACATTTTCAGCAGTGATCACATTCAGTCCTGAGACTTTGGCCACAGTTCTAGTGTACAGAACAGTGAGAGCCTTGGGGAGCTTTGGAATAGTTATGACCCCTCCCATGCTGCTATCTAGTATGAGAGAAACCCAATACTGTTTCCTTGTGAACATCCGGATGTAATTTCCTACTGGTCCACAAGGTACCTGCCCCTCTGCTCTGGGATTGCTTTTTCTTGAGCTGCCTCTACCACTCTCAAGAATCTGAGAAGGTTCAGAGTGCTTTGGATGAGCATTTCTGCTGCTTCTCTCCTGATTGTCTGGTAAGAAATTTGGAGCAGAGGAAAAGTTAGTAATATGGCTGTGGTTTTCTAGGAATTTTAGTCTTTTTCAATTTCCTTTTTTTTTCTCTTTTGTCATCTTAGCCAGCTTTCTGCTTCTTTCCCTCTTTTTCCCATAAGTAAAAGTGATGATTCAATTGGCTTTTAGTTATAATTAACTAAGATCAACCTGGGGTTTTCAAGAAAGTGAAGGTGAGGCAGTTAAAAATGAGAAGTCAGCATTGTATTAGAGAGACTAAAGCCAAAAATCTCCTTTTGCTGATATAACCACTTGCGATCTCCTAAATGAGAGGTATTACAGGGATTTAATGTGCCTTATGTGCACTGACTTAACGCCATTAATAGATTTATAGTATAATTCCTTTCACTTGGGGCCTCTGGGTGCTGTGGTAATGTATTTATTTGCTATTTTGTTGGTGACGCTCGGACAATATTGCTCATTGCTCCTTCTCTCCAATCAGACAATTCAGGTGGGAAAGGAGGACGCCACGATGCACACGCTGTTTGCAGAGTCTTTTGCCACGCTGGGCCGACTGGACAACGTCACCTTGGTGATGGTTTTCCACCCGCAGTATCTCGAAAGCTTTCTCAAAACTCAGCACTATCTCCTGCAAATGGATGGCCCGCTCCCGCTCCATTACCGGCACTACATCGGGATAATGGTACGCAGCCGGCAGAAACCGCCACGCTGGCCGCCGCTCCAGCCCTGTCTGAGAGCAGCTGGTGCTGGCCTTTGCAGTTTCTAGCTGGAAAGGCACTTCACCAGCAGCTGAGGGAAGAGCAGAGTAGGTTTGTTGGTGTCTGCTTTACAGATGGTTTCAGAAGATCAGCACTTTATGTTCATAGATTTGGTAGGACTGTGAAAAAGAGGGAAAAGCGTGCTACAGAAATGAGATAATTGTTTGTTATTGGCTTCCTTAGTATCTCAGAAACTGTTCTCAAGAAAGCTCGTTCTTGTATCTGTGTCCTGTCGCATACACGTCTAACTCAATAGCTGGTTCCATTGTGCATTTCTGAATATGTAAATTTTGAGCAAGTTTTCTGCCAAAAGTGCTTGATTTCTAATTTTCAATCTGCCAGTTAAATGATCTTTGCTTGCTGAAGTTGAATTAAAGTTTTGGGCTGTGTCTTAATTTGATGTAGAAAATGTTGGAGTAAACGATACTGGGCCTTTCTTTGCTGAGAAGCTGCTTGTAGTCTCTCTTGCCATATGTCATCTAAAACCTGCTTTTGATTGTTGCTGGTAAAGATGCAGCTAGAGACAGCATCTTCCCCCTGGGGAGTAGGATGCAGTATGGGTTACTTGCTTCAGGACATGCAATAAATCCATGCCTGTATTTCTCCCTGGGTATAGGCATGTTGCACCTGTAGCCAGCATAACGATGGTGTGTATGAACAAGGGATATTTATGTTGCAGGAACAATAATCAAAACAAGCTGATGTAAATCTTTTTTTACTTGAGTCTTTGATCAGTGCAAGTCTTATTCTTGGATGTTGTGAGGAAATGATGCCTTATGGTATTTGTCATAAAGTACTAGCTTTCTGCAATTGTTTTCTGTTCACACTGTTTTCCTTTCTAGGCCGCAGCACGACATCAGTGCTCCTACCTTGTTAACCTCCACGTGAATGACTTCCTTCATGTTGGTGGAGATCCTAAATGGTTGAATGGTCTCGAAAATGCACCTCAAAAATTGCAAAATTTAGGAGAACTGAACAAAATGCTGGCTCACCGACCCTGGCTTATCACCAAGGAACATATTGAGGTAGGTCTTTCATGGAGTAATGTGAATGTCCCCTTTTTTCTGTAAAGCAATCACAGATTCTTGGGGTTCAGAGCCAGACAGGGTGAAGGATGTTCTGTGGTAGACTCTGATTTCAGTGCTACATCACTGCATGATCTAATATCTCTTGTGCCCCGCTTTGTAAAACTAACAGGATCACAACTGCTTTTAAATGAGTAGCGAATTTAATTTACAGCACCCTGAAATTTCTCTGTCATGTTGGAATTCTGTTGATGCAGTGACAATGCTCAGGTGTGCACCTCCCTGCTCAAGCTGTGTGCTTTCAGTAGCCAGAACCCCCAGGTGTTTCTGAGATGCTGCCAGAGGTCAGGCAGAACACCAGCCACCACATTTTTGTCTGGCTTGCTGCCAGTTCAAGTGCTGAGTTTTCAGGTGGGATGGAGAGAGCAGGCTGGCAGCTGCCCAGGGGAGTGGTGGTGGTACAGACAGCCGGGACTGCAGCACCAACAAACCACCAAGGGGCTGCTTCCCCCACCCTTTCTGCTCTCCTCTGTGTCCTTAGCAAGGGGCACGTGGGTGCTGGGACTTCCTCAGTGCTGCCTGGCCTGGTGAGAGGCGGTGGCAGGTCCAGCTGAGGCAGGACGCTGTGCTGTGGGGGAGGGCACACGCTCTGCCAGAAGGCCCCAAACCTCCCACACTTTCCTGCCTGAAGGGGAAGTTGGGGTTTGAAGCTTCTTGTAGAATCTAGAGCATTCCACCCACAGGGACAAGATGGAGGAAGCTTGTGCCAGGTTTTTACTCGCTGATCTGCAAGGAGTTGCCTGGGTTTTCTGATGCTGTAAAGACCATTTGAACAAACATGCAACAGTTGTGGTTGCATCTTCATCAGAGGTGTGAAATTGCAGTGCAAGTCAGTAGGGCCTCGATACAAACCACATGGTGCAAAAGAGAAACCCCAACTTATTCAATTGCCCAGGGACAGAGAAGGGAGAGAAGTTGTGTCCTTTGTGGCACAACCACGCAGGTCTGTCTGGCAGGTCACTGAGCACACTAATGGCAGCAGAGAGTTAGGAAGCATGTTTGGGTGTCAGAAAAGTAATTTTACCTGACAAAGAAATGTGTTGATAAACTGCACTAAGGTAGGGTCAAATGAATTATTTTAATACTTTTGTCTTGCATTATTTTCAAAGCAACTTCTGAAGACAGAAGAGAACAGCTGGTCCCTGGCAGAGCTGATCCATGCAGTCGTTCTCCTTACACACTACCACTCCCTTGCTTCCTTCACGTTTGGCTGTGGGATCAGCCCAGAGATCGACTGTGAAGGTGGTCACACCTTCAGGCCCCCCTCTGTCAGTAACTATTGCATATGTGATATAACAAATGGTTACCACGGGGTGGATGAAATCCATGCCAGCCCAGCTGGAAGTATTCCAGTAAGTGTCTGAACAATCTCTTCCAATAGTAGTAATTTCTTTGTAAACTTAATACGTGGAGGGTGCCTGTCTCTTTTCATTCCTTTGAGAGTGGGATTGATGAGCCTAATCCACATGTGGGTATTGAAAAAATGCATTTAAGAGAAGCTGAAATGATATTGGGAAGCTGGGGAAAGCTACCAAAGGGAGAAACAGACAATCTCTGTTGTCTTTTTTTTCTGCCTGTCATTCATAAAGGTGAATTGAGATGAGTCCCAGCCTCAGCTAGTTCATGACACGTGTCCTGAGCAGCAGTGGCCAGGAATGTTTTTTTCATCGGTGCAATGGAAAGTTGGCTCTTCCTTTGATTCCAGGCTCTGACTTTTTTGCCTTGAGGTGTTTGTCATGCATCACACACCAGATCATTTTTAACAGATCATTCACAACTTTGTGACTCTATTTAAAACACTCATTCCTGCCTGCAGCAGTTATGCTGATCTGGACTTGTTTTCCCTTGGTGAAAAGAATGATGTGAACTAAATGTTGGTTTAAGAAACAGCCATGAGGGTGTTCTCACTGCAAGATTCTTGCCTGTGATATTTTACTGCAGTGGTGTGGGTGGCATTTAAATTTGTTTGATGGAGCTTGCTGGCTCTCTGAAGGACCAAACTGCAAAAGGCAGGGAGGAAAGGAGCAGAGCTGTATAAAGACAATTTTACTCTACTTTGGTGCTGATGAATGTTTACAAGATCAATTACTGAATTCTTGTGGTGTTAAAACAGCTGTTGTGAAAGACGATTATTTTGCACTAGCTTTCTTTTGAGGCTTCATTAAATCTGCATTTATACTCCCCCTTCCTTTTCCTTCAATGTTTCTTTTCTGTGAGCAGAGGAGGAGAAAAATACAGTTGGGTGGTAAATTGTGGTTACTTCCTCTATCAGAATTTCTGTTACAGCTCCTTGTTTTTCAGTTGCTGAACATTTAGACTAAGAGAAACTAATTTTAGTGTGAGAACAACTAGTTCCAAAATGCTGTGATTTTTAAATCATGCTAAAAATACCAGGGGTCTAATTGAGAAAAGATGATGACTAAACGTAAACCATTGTGTCAGTACAGGTTTCTTTCAAAAACTGTGTTCCTTGAAAAATCTTTATTTAAAGATGTAAAGGACTTCAGTTGTTTTTAAACTTTCTGGCTTGGCAATTACTGCCATCATTGTCAGTTCCCGTTGCATGAAAATGAAATGTCTGTCACTTCTTTTTAGTCTACAGAGTCTGTCTGTGAAGTTGAAGCTCTTATGGAGAAGATGAAGCAGCTGCAGGAGTGCAGAGATGAAGAGGAAGCCAGCCAAGAAGAGATGGCCACGCGTTTTGAGAGAGAGAAGAGAGAAAGCATGTTTGTGTGCTCTTCAGGTAGTGCAGCTGTAGTCTGTATATGTATTTATTAAGACTTTTCCAAATTATTTGAAGAAATACTCCTGCAAAATGGAAATAAGTGCTATTAGATGTCACACAAACATTACAACTTCTTTGAAGGAATCAAGATTAGGGATGCCTTGTTTTCTTCCAGGAACACTTAAAAGCAAAGTAGTGCCAAGATTTGTGGCTGCTCGCAGACACACCATAACACTCTCACCAAAATGTGTTTAATAGAAATCTCCAGAAGAAATGGAATCTGTCTCTTGAGAGTTTTAGAAGTTTCACAGGAGATTTAAGCATCTTGCAAGACGCTCTAAAAACAAGACACTTGACATGACTTGTTATTTAAGTGCATGAAACATTACTTTTCAGATGACTGAGAGACAGTACTTAATCTATTGCAAGTTTAGGGTTGTAATGGGCTCTTCAGTACAATTTCCTCTAAGACACACTTGGCATGGGAGTCTCAGAAGTCTCTCTTTTAAAAAGCTCTCTGTTCCAAACCAGGTTTTGCCCCTGACATTTTTACAAACCTCTTGAGTTAGGGGGAGTACATTCCCTAGATTCAGGGGATAGGGTGAAGACTGCAGTACAACAAAAGGGAGAAAAAAATGTTTGTCTGTAAGAAAAAACCTGAGTGTTTTTCATGGAGTTGCCTCTGAACACCATAGCTGCAGTCACAGAACTGTACCAGAGAATCTTAATACGGGTAATCCAGTGAAAATGTGTTTGATTAAAAAGCACAGAGACCCATTCTTCTTCAGGAGTTCTGCTCCTACACTTCCGATTTGTTTTTTCAAATTGTGTGACATTCTGTTTGACATTAACAGAAGATGAAGAATCTGCAGCAACAAGAGATGTGTCTCGGCACTTTGAGGATACCAGCTATGGGTACAAAGACTTCTCCAGACACGGAATGCACGTGCCCACCTTTCGTGTTCAGGTAAAAGGCTGGGGGCTGCTCGGGAGGCTTAGGGAACAACCTGCTCATTGTGCCACCTACCAAACCTGGAAATGGCTGTGTTCTCACTGCCCCGTGGGTGAGGCTTAAATTAAGCCAGCAAATGAACAACCCCCACCCCCAGTGGATTATCTGCCGTGGGATCTTTAACTATACTGAAGCTCTGGGTCTTCACAAGTTTATTTCTGATATGCTTCATTCTGCATTTTTACTTATTCCAAGGATTATTCCTGGGAAGACCATGGCTATTCCTTGGTTAATCGTCTTTATCCAGATGTGGGACAACTACTTGATGAGAAGTTCCATATTGCTTATAATCTGACTTACAACACAATGGCCATGCACAAAGATGTGGATACCTCAATGCTAAGACGAGCTATTTGGAACTATATTCATTGTATGTTTGGAATAAGGTCAGTTTTACTGTTTTGTTCTAAACACACTGGCTTTTCTTTCTCGGGTTGAACCAGAACTATTTATTAAGCAAACATGCATGTATTTTTAAACATATTTTTGTTTATGGGGGAGGGCCACTAGTGCTACACTTACCCAATAATTTGTTTTGCCATAGGAACTTAGAAACAATGCAAGTGAAATAACTGCTGCTTGAAAATGAAAGTGTTTTTCTTTCAATTCCGAACAGATACGATGATTATGACTATGGTGAAATTAATCAGTTGTTGGACCGCAGCTTTAAAGTTTATATCAAGACTGTGGTTTGCACTCCTGAAAAGACCACAAAAAGAATGTATGATAGCTTCTGGAGACAGTTTGAACACTCTGAGAAGGTACAGTTGGTGTGCGTGCCGAGGGGCAGCCAGGGGCCCCAGATCAGTGTCTCCCTGACAGCCACAGCCACACAGCTGAAGCTTTAGCTGGTGCTCCTGGGGTTCTGCTCACAGTCCAGTCACTGGGAAGTGTCGTGTTCCCAGGCTGAAATAATCTCCCCTTTCCTCCTGCCTGTGTGCTGGCCAATAGCTGACATGGACTGGGCTAGCTCTGAGCAGTACAGGGGGTTAGACACGAGAATGGCACAGCTTCATCTCAACTGCAGTCAGTACTGCCTGTATCCCAGAGAGGCAGGAAAGTGGTGCACGATCCATCCAGCCCTTGGCAGCAGACCTGGAACAGCTCTCTGGCTGGCCCAGGGTCTTTCCAGTCCCCTGGTCCTTCTGGCATGGATAGCCCCAAACCAGGTTTTCATCAAAGCCTGAAAGCTCTGCTGCTGGGTTATGGCCTGAATTACATCTCCCAGTCACTTTCCTGCTGTTAACTCCCAGATATTGAATCCATTATGTCCTTCAGTTTTTCTTTGGAAAGGTGTTTCTTGGCCTGACTTAAAGTCAGTGCTTTACAAACATAAAGATGCAGAAATCATTAATGCTCATATGATTAGAGGCTCTAGTTCTTGATAAACCCCTTAAAGTAGGGTCCTGTAACTGCAATGATTTAAGATTGTTCAAGTAAAACACTGCCTATGTTTTGGTTAGACTAACTGTGATAGATGAGCTTTCCAAGCACACAAATCCTTCTTTAAAGCCCAAAACTTTGCATCTCCATAGCCATCAAAAGCCAAGGCTCATTCACAATATGAATTCATATGTGTCACTGAATGCAATAACCATACATCCTCACAGAGATCATGCAAATGAAACCACACACAACCCTTACATGCCAGAGCAAACTCACAGCAACCTGCTGTCGGTGAGAAAATACTTTCACACCCTTCCCCCCACAAGTTTCTGATCTCATCCTCAAAGAAATGCAGTAAAGGCATTGAGGAGATGATGTGAGGAACTAAAATTCTTAGATCCAGTAGCTACTGAACACCTGTATCTCAGTAGATAGAGGGTTTATGGCACTTGAGAGTTTTTCTGGTGCTTCGCCTTGGCCAACCACTCTGTGTTGTTCAGGTGGGAGCTGCCTGTGTGTTTCTCTCTCAGTCCCCAGGGACAAATGTCCTTATCACCTCTGCCTTTGCTAGCACCCCACTCTGTTCCACAGGACCTTTAATCATTAGCCTCACTGAAACTGAACCAGCTGTGCATATTGTGCTGCCGAAGAAGGGCTTGTGTGCTAGAAAACTTGTATTTCTAACTAAACCAGCTGGTCTGCTAAAGGATGATTCCTCTTCCTAGGGCCCTGGCCCTGTGTAAGTGTGCCCGTGAGCCAGTGCCACGCTGTGCCACAGGGTGTGGCGTTGGTTCCTCTGCCCCCTCAGTGAGCTTCACAGTGAGGTCTGGCTGGTGACACGGGCAGTGCTCCCCTGCTGCTGCTGCACCAGCGCACACCCACAGCCCCCAAGCTTCCTCTGGCTGCGGCGCGTGGCGGTGAGCACGGTGCTAAAGGAGAACTTCTTCTCTCTCCTGTAGGTCCATGTAAATTTGCTTCTGGTAGAAGCTCGGATGCAAGCCGAACTACTTTATGCTCTGAGAGCTATTACTCGCTATATGACCTGATGTCTCTGGCTGCCTGTCGACGTTGGAATGTTCTGCAGCTGCAGTATGGCAGAGGAAGATACGAAGCCTCAGGACCAACAGTAGCTATAAGTTAAGATGCCCATTGTGCCATAACTCCTTTAGTTTCAGCTATTTCCATGTTTGGAATATCATTGCTGCCGCTGGGCAGCGAACGCTTGGCAGTTGACAGACAGGGTTGTGCAGAAGTGCTGCCTGCTCATGGTATTTTGGCTTTAGACAGCCCGGGACATTCTCTGAACTTGTGGCAATATAGCAAACCATAGATACATAGATCTTGTGTTAAGGCAAATACTGCGGGAGTCGGAGTGCGAAAAGAACTGGGACTCGATGACATTTGCTTTCCCTACAAGAATAATTCTAGAAAATCTTGATGCTGCTATTTGTGCAGGTGGAGTGAACAGACCCAGGCTGTTCCAGTTGAGCTAGAAGTGAAAGTGAGCACTGCTATTGTCTGAGCCTTTATTGTGTGTGGTTTCAAAAAAGCCTTGTTATTTAGATTCCCTGTTTAATCAGAACTAAACCTCTCCTGTCCACACTGATAATTTGAAAGATAGCAGTCAATTTTCTCAACTAGTTTAGCCTTAAAAACAGGATGTTTGTTCAGCATTATTTGGTGAGCTCCAAAGTGCAATGGTCTTCCTATGGAAAGAAGGGGACTGGAGTCCTCAGAGCTTCTTAGAGATCTACTTAGACAAAGTATCGAGTAGCTTCTTGTCCTCCTTTTCATGGATGAACCAAGAAGGAGCTAGGAAAAGGTGTGGGAATGTTGTTCTAGACTGCCAAACAGTCCTACTGTATTACATGCCCAACGCTGGTCTTAATGATTTTTGCAGTTGCTTAAATAACTAGGCTAAAAAACATCTATTTTTAGTAAATCAAAACGTGATTAAAATGCTGACGTTTAATATACAGTGGTTTTGGAGAACACATGAATACTTTTGTATGAGTGTGAATTGCTTTTTAAATTTGTCAGTATTACTGGTATTTTTGAAATAAAGGTAACAACTTTTTCTCTTAGTGTTTCTGTGTGGTTTAACTTTAAGCTTATGTTCTTACTGGTTTTAAGGCCATTTAAAATGTTTGAAACAGTAACTGAGCAAATAGTTAAAATCACGAGGCATGAATTTTTTAACTGAATCTAAAATGGTGAAGGAAAAGTTTAAAACAGAGCTAGAGCTTCACTGACTAGTGGAAAGACCTCTTCTGTACTGCTGATGTTTTCACCCATTTGGACAAAGCTCTCGGACACAAGGTGTGATTCTTGGGGTGTCTAGTGCAGGGTAAGGAGTTGGACTCGATTATGCTGATGGGTCCTTTCCAACTCAGCTGATTCTATGATTTTCTGTGATTTTGTGAAATGGATTTTCCCAAGCCCATAAGCAGTTCAATTTCTGTCCTCTGGCCTGAGTCTCAGCTCAGACTGGTTTCTTTTTCTACAGAACCTTCTGAGAACAATTTTAAGTTTACAGCCCAAGAAGCTAAAATATCTAAAAAGATCTAGGGGAGAAAGATTAATAAACTGTCAAAAATTGTGACTAACAGGAAGCATCTGGTGCTTCCTCTTAACTGAAAATACAGGATTTTTAATGTTCCAAAAACAGAGCAAAACTTTCCTGTCTTAAGGGCATTGTACAGCTGAGCTGTGCCTTTCCAGTCTGCGAGCAGTTTCTGCAGCACTTGAGTCTCCAGGTGCTTTCTCAGGTCAAAGATAGACATGAATTTTTCCAAGAAACCTAAACTGGCCATTTCCATCCTATGCTCTCCAGCCACATCCAAGCACGTTCTCACTTCTCAAGCAGTAAACACTGCAGTGGATCTGTCTGTGAGTGGCTTCATCTGCCATCACAGATGGCAGCTGTGGTCACAGCTGCCATCAGAGGAGAAGCCACAACCTGCAGGCAATCCCGACTCCCTGCCCAGGACTCCCGGGCAGCTCCGGCAGAGCCCCAGCCCGTGGCTGTGAAGTGGTGAACGATGCCATAAGAACACACCTGAAATCCAGCATGCTGGGGCTGCTTCCTACTGCTCACAGGTTTTCCTTCAGAGAAAGACAGAGGCTGGTATAGCTCGACCGGAGGGGTGCTCAGGAGTCCTGTGCCACCCTCTCTTCTCAATCCAGCTCCTCTGAACGTTTCTCTTCCTGTACAAAGGCCAGAGCTCACACATGGTGGCTGCCCCAGGATGCCCAGCTCTGCCCAGCTGCAGACAGTGCTTCAGGCTCTTGGTTACAGTTTGATCAGGAATAACTGACATAATTAGTGTTGCATTTGAACAAATCTTAATTGCCCAAGCACCACCTTGACTTCAGCCAGCCATCAGTATCAGCTGCCTTCTGACAGAGATTCAGCCCTTGTCAATTCTGATTAGTCCTGCTAACAGGGCTTAGCCACAGGGGCCTTTTCCAGTGCCCCTACCCTGCCCTGCACAGCTGGGTGTTTGCCTGTGTTGCTGTGACACAAATGCCAGGAACAAATGCCTCCAGCTTCTTCCCCACAGGGACTACTTACCCATCATCCTTTCTTTAATACTCTCTCAAAGCAAATCCATTATTTTCTCCCAGAAACAAATAGGACATTGAAGCCATTTTTCTTCCCTTCAGCTAAAATTAAAATGGCAAAAGAAGGGATGATAATTGAGATGTTTTTGAGCTGAGCAGAGCTGTTGTTGGAGCCAAACCACACTGAATGCCGAGCACTTCTCTCCTGTGGATCAGCCTCCGTGACAGAGGCTGTCCACACACAAGCTCCCAAAGCAGGGCTGAGCCTTGCTGGGCACAAATAACACCTGAGCTGCTGAGACCCAAAGAATGGAGCAAATTTTATCACTTTCACTGAAGTTTCCTCTTCATCACTCCCAAAACCTGGACCACAATGTCTCCCTTTCCCTGCTCCGTAAAAGCAGGGATCTAAACTAGGAAAGAAGTCTCGCTGCCCTTCTACCATGGTGCTACTTCCCAGCCTCTGTCTGCTCACCTGGAAGCAGAGGTCTGGGCACTACCTAAGGCAGAGAGAGCAGTGCCACTGAGGGAGCTATGAATCGCTGCCTCCCAACAAATTCCTCCAGCCTCTCCTGGGAGAGAAGCTGGAGCCGCTCCTGTGGCACACGGCCCAGCGCGATGCTGCTGACCCGCGGGAGCAGGAGCTGGGCAGCCCCTGCAGAGCCATTTATTCTCAGTAATCTGAGGTCAGGAAAGAGAGAAATGGGTCAGGTCTGTAAAGCTCACTGTGGCCAACTGGGCTGATAACGCTGGAGGTCGGCAATGCGCCTGCTGCGCTAATCCACGGGCTACAAGCGGGAACTTCTACACACTGGAAGGATAAAAACTGAGCAATAAACAAGGCAGCAGCAGTCAGGGGGAACAGGGAGAAAGAGGCCTGTTATGGCCCCACAAATGGAGACACAGGTTCAGGGGAGACAGCTGGCTAAGAAATCTGAGAAGCAGAGGCACACAGGTGGCTCCCGGGAGTGTGGGACCAACTGAAAAAAGGTAAAATCTTCTCTGACATCAGGGATATGGGTGTTTTGCCTAAAGATGGGAAGTCCCAATTCAAGAAAGACCAGCACAGCTGAACCTACATCCCACAAGCATCAAGGCAGCAGCTGGGTTAGCTGGGATACCACAGACCCTAGCCCCCAGTGTCAGAAGGAAAAGGGGGTGACATTCCCTGACCACCAACAGCATTCGATCTGAAGAGTGAAGCTCATGAAGGAACAGAGGACAATGCCCCAAGGGCACTGGGTTACTCTGTCACACAAGCTCCTTAAGGTAAAAGCGTGTCAAAGTCTGTAGGTGAGATGTGGCTCCTGTCACATAACATTCGTTTGCACAGCATTTTTGGTACCACAGAGGTCCAAGTACTCACTCATAACTTACCTTTTAAAAATTAGAAGTTCAGCAAATATTTTTGTTTCATTTTTCCAGTTCAAGAAACAATACAATTACTAGGTAAGTCACACTGAACAGCTGCTTCATCAGCTCAGGTATATTGTAAAAAGTAATTACACATGCAAAGATTTCATACAAGCTCTTCAGAAGATAGCATACAGTACATGAATGCCAGGCTTTTCTGACTTTTTTTTTAAATAGTCATGCTCTCCAACAAGCTTACTGCTGGCAATGTACAGGTATATTAGAAATATGCAATTTACCTGATAAAAACACCCCGACTGGTTAAAATGGAGCGATAAACTCAGCTGGAAGAGCGATGGCTTTGAATTCTGTCAAGAAGTTTTTCTGCCACGGGTTTGAACTCTCTTTCCCAATACACTCTTTGGCAGTCCTTTATATCTCTGTCAAGGCTGCCCTCCAGCTCTACCTCTTCATCTGTAATCAAGGAAATACTGTCATCAGTTCCAAATAAAAATATACTCAACTGCGTATTTTGTGACACATACAGCTTACCAGCTGTGTATGCTGATGGCTTAAAAACAACTGCACTTGAGATAAGTTAAGCATCACTGTCTGAGGGTCTTAGATTTAACTGAAAATAAAGGATGGTAAGGTCAGTAGAACAGTGAAAATGGTACTGCAAGTTCTTTTATTCTCACACCTCACAGGTGTCTCTGAGACAAAAACTGTCTCTGAGATTGATCATTTACTGTGACTGTCAGTCTGGAAAGTACCCAGGGTTTAATATTGCCCACAGCAGTTTTGCTGAATGGATTTCAAGCAATCTATTCATCTCACTACAACTATGTTTTTCCTGTCCCAAATTGCTCTGCTAATCTGGAAACTCTTTCAAACTCTATCTACTCTCACACTGAAGGAACTTGAACCACACTGGTTACTGTATTTACTGATGCCCTCCCTTCCTCACAAATTTCAAAAATAAAACAACAGGACAGTCTTTATTAAAGACAATGTTAGGAATGAAAGGAAGTCATCAATCATTTTTCCCCATCCATTTTGCTTAGCACTGGATGTGGCAAAGAGACAAACTCTTAGAGAAAATGCAAATCAGTCTGCAACCAGAAGCATTCTCCTGAATCAGGAATCTACAAACACAACTGCTAATGCTGAATGATTTCACACAGTTTAACAGAGATATTTTACATGCTTTAGGCCATAACAAACCTAAAATGAACCTCGAATCCTGCTCCAAATGGGCAATACTTAACCCTTGGTCTACACTATGAAAAAGCACCAGATTCACAATGTGTTAAATAAATAACTCTGTAAGGGAGCTTATTGCACAATCACAGCAGGTAAAGGCAACTTGGGGCTGAGGAGAAACTTCAGTTAGCCACACTTTGAATCAAACTTTATGTAGAAAAGAGATGCTCCAACAGCAGTTACTCCCATCCAAAAGCATGCCAAGGTGCCTGTGCCGATCAGATGGTCTGAGCTGAGACAGGTATGAAGGAGGAAATGACATTCCTGTGTGTGAGATGGGCTCCAGCTCACACAAAGTTACCAGCAACTGCAAACAGTACTTGGGTCCTGTGCCACTACGCTGCAACTACAAAAATTAAACAGAGGCTGATTGTGAGAAAGATTCCAAAATGGGTTCTGTGTAAGGAGATGACAGAAAGGAGTCTTTCTGTAACAAAATAAAGAGGACAAGAACCCAGTCTTTCAAGAAGGATGTCATATCTCTAAAGGAAGAAAACTTGTAATCAGAGATAAAATCTAGCCTTTGACATCAAATCTATATTTGATGATGTCATAGGATAATTTAGGTTGGAAAAAACCTCTGGAGCAGAGTCACCATGTATCAGTTTGCTGTGTACTGTTGAGTACTTGAACACCTTCTAGGACAGCAGCCTGTTCCAGTGCTTAGCTTCTGCTACAGTGGAAATCTCTTTTCCTAATGTTTAATTGGAATTTTGTCTTATTGCAACCTGAGCCCATTAGCTCTTGTCCTGTCAATGGCACAGTAACCCAACATACCTAAAATCAATCTCAGCAGCAGAGAAGCCAGAGACCCTGAAGTGGAAAATAAGGGATTATGGGATTTGTTTTCAAGGAGAATTGCTTTGCCTACTCCTGCTTTTTTCTACCCAAATTAACTCTGTTCAAACACAGAGCAAGAGGCATTTCTCCCTTTTATTAGACAGCTGTGCTCCCCAGAAGTCGACTGAATATTTATGGAATCACTGAGGTCGAGAATTCCAGGCTACAAGAACAAGGGTCAGAAGCAGTTCAAAGCTGAAGTGTTGAACAGAAACAGTAAATTTCCCAAAGCAGAACGTGAGTAACGCTGCGGATCAGCGAGGATCAGCGTTCCGCATGCAAGCTGTGCATCCTCAGATAATTTAATTTTCCCACGACTCTCCTCAAACACCAGCAATATTGGGTCCTGGCCAAAGAGCATATGTGCTGGCTGCAAGCCCAGGAACAAGACAAACACAGTGGGCCTGCATACTGTGGGGGAAACTGGAGACTGGAGTGCAGACTCCTGCAGTCTGCAAGGGCTGCCCATCCTTGAAGCACCGGCAAGACAGGGGCTGGCAGCCCTGGAAGTTCTGTCATGTCATCTAAGAGCTCACATGGACTGAGATTCCCAAATAACCTCCAGGAATTGATAGTGGAGGTAAAAGTCTGCACAAGAAAAAGTCTGGAGAGAGAGGGAGAAACTTTCTTTTCAGTGAATGGCCAAACAGAAGAATGTTCTCAAGACAGAAGCTCATCTCCACTGCTGCTCGTGAGGGCCTGGGCCAAGGCAAAGCTGCTGCCAGGGCCTGGGAACAGCAGCCTCCAGAAGCTCTGAGCCAGCAGAGTGACATGAAAGTCAAGCAGCTGAAAGAAGGTGAATGACAAGTGCCATTGGAAAGCAGGGCCACTGCATCCCAGGCTGCTGGGATCAGACAGGGCAAAAGAAAAACAAATAGTGCCCTTTGTCCAGCCTTTCTATTGGGCACAACATCTTTCCAGGCCACTTCCATTCCCTTTTGCTTCCTTGTATCTTTTGTCATCCTGCGCCAGATGGGGGAGGGAAAAATAAAGGGGAGGAGGCCAAGCACAGCAGGTGAAGCGAGGTGTCTGCTGTGCCATGCTCCACTTTTTCCGCTTCCTGAGGGTGTGCTGACGCTCAAGTACAGTTCACTGGCTGTCAGCAGTTGCCTCCTGCTTCCTGAATGATAGAATCAGAGCAATGACGGTTCAAGGCTGTTACTGGACACAATGGGAGGAGGAAGATGTAGACAATATTAACCAGCTGCTATTACTAAGATTTGTTGGCTCTCTGCACACAGAGGAACCAGATCCAGTGAATAAGATGTGCTTTTCTACAGCTCCTCTTCTTACTACAGTGTGAAGAATGACTGGCCTTCTGATTTAATTCTAACCTATTCCTAATTAATTACCTTCACAGCTGCATTACAATCCTGATGTAACTGCAATTGCAATTGTACATAAACTTCCAGTTGACAAAAGTTATTCAATGAGAGTTACAGTTGTTACCCAGCCTGGAGTCTGCAGTCAAATCAATTGCTTCAATAAGCAGTGTTAAATGCAGAGGAAAACATAAGCATGTACTTTCTAAAACAAAGATATATACCTCTTGCTGTGTGCCAGAAAATTCCAGCACAATTGTGGCTGTAAGTTTGCAGATCTCTTGCAGAATGTTAAAAAGTGCAGTAATAACCTTGAAACACTGCTATTTTTGGGTAAATAAATGGAATTACTGCACACATTAAGATAAAGTTCATCCTAGCAAGGAATGTAATACAAGGAACTATTACAGCAGTGAATAGCAGTAATTCTGCTGTAACTGGAAAAAATCCTCACAAATCCACCCACTTTTCTGATTTTCTACAACAAAAGAGACCATGAGATCTCACATTCTGTCTGGGTCTGACAGTAAGTATACATCTTTAATCAATTTCCAATTAAAACCATATCAAATATAGTTAAGTTTCCTTCAAATTGATTTATATTTTAAAGATTTTTTTAAAGATAATTGCAAGTGACTTACCCAAAATAAAATCATAAGCAAAGCAGTGCTCAAAAACTAAAGGAGGAAAATTACATATACCAACTACAGGACTATTACACAGCCACTGAACTATGTAAAATTTGAAGGAAAAGTAAATGTCTGGATGAAAACATCCCACTGGGTAAGCAAATCAAGGTTCTTACATTAACCTTTCAGCCTTGTGAAGCAATGAGAACACCCTTCCTGGCTCTAGGGAGCAGATGAGAAATTGTCAGGATGTTGTCCTTGCCCACAAGGAGACAAAGCTGACGCCCGCTGCACCCCAGAAATTCCGTGATCCCCAGGGGCCCAGTGTGTGCTGCACAGGGACCACTGTGCTGCTGGACAGTCCACACCGGCCAGCCACTGAATGCTGCAGGACAGACATCCCACCCACACTAATCCTGCTTTGATTTTGCTCCCTCTGTTTCTCTCCTTGAGGAAAAGAGACCAGGACTAGGAGTCTCACCCAGAAGTGCTGTGAGCAGCGTCAGCAGCGCGGTGGTGTTTCCCCCGAAGCAGGAGGAGCTCGCCATGTTCTCGCTGTAGTTCCACAGGGTTTTGCAGATCAAACACGAGAGCTGCCAGTCTGCCGGCCCAAAGTCTTGTAAGCAGTCAACCAACCTGTCAGTACCAAACAAAACCAGTGGTTTGTTCCATGGAATTTACTCCTGAGCTCTTCAAAATCTGGCAGTCTAGAAATGTAAGCAAGCTCCATGGAAGTTTGCAGGAAAATTCTACATTAATAAACTTCAGATGCTACTTTCTTCCTCAGTAATTTCCCCCTTTTCATTAAGAGTAGTTCCCCAAGGATCTGAACATGACTTTTGCCTACACATGTGTGTGCCTGCCTGCAGCTGCCCATCCTCTGTAACTTCCTAACCCAACTGACCAATTTCACTCATATACTTGGCAAATGTAACCATTTCAAAGACACTAAAATTCCATCAAATTTCACTACAATATGTGACTGTCCCAAATCTGTGACTATCACTAAAGCAGAGATTGCAAACCAAGCCAAACTTTATCAGGCACCAATGATTCATCTGGAAACGGTGGTGGGAATGCAGAAAAAGCTTCAGTCAGAATGTCCATCTTACTACACATCAGATCATCTCACCAAAAAAAAAAAAAAACAAAAACAAATCCAAAGGAATCTGCTACTTTCATGATCAAAGAATTACCTTTCACATTCAGTGAAGTCTCACAATTTTGCCAATCTCACCCATTCTTGCATTTCCTCAGCCTGTACTCCCAAGGGACTCCTCTCAGAAATGCCTGTTTTACTAAGGTGTCCCTGGTGACCTCTCCAACAGTAATCCTTCACTGCTGTTCTCTTCTTCAACCTTAGGAACCCCTCCTTCCCTCACTTTTCCACTTCACAGAGAGATTTATAATCTGTTGAATAGTAAAGGTTAACTACTATATTCAGGTATGGCTGAAAATATCAGTCATTGAAGACCACCCAAAAAGAGGTTTGCTTTTTGCCTCCTCTCAGAAGGCAGTCATTGTGGAACAAAAGGAGCCAAAAGAACTTGTCCTAACTTTTTAAAAATATAACTCTCTGAAAAGACTAATCCCCTATTTTCTTTGGGCCACTATATATTGGTAAAATAACCTCAGTTCCAAAAAACCATAGAGCTGGTTTGGCAATGTCAGAATGATCTCTAATGATGATTCCAAATTCTCTAGATTCATTCCATGCTGTTACTGGTTTTTTTTTTTTGTTTTTTCCCTCACAAATTTTCAGACACAGTATAGAAAATTCTGAATTTATATGGTTCTATAGGCTACAGAATATTCTATATAATAGAAATTTCTCACACTTATTATTCAATTTTCCAGCAACTTATTTTTATTCTCCTTTTCCAGCTTTATATTGTAAGTTAACTAGAACATGGGAAGGAAGGACTATGCATTGTTTACAGTGTATAAAAAAGTAATTATATGATGTACGAACAGGAAAGCATTTCAAAGTGAGGCATATTGTTTCACAACTGTGGGCTGCACCAACTGCTTCACAAGCACAGGAACATGATCTTTCATGTTGCTCCAATTAAGCTGGATCCGCTATTATCTGAACATCAAAGCCACAAGTGTTGCATCCAGTGGTTTTTCAAGGTCTAATATCCCTTACAATGTTACAGTGCCTTAAACTTGAAGTCCCAGAGAGAGGGGACCCAGGAGCTGTTCCCTGCCGAGTATGGCTACATCAGGAAGTTCTCCCTACAGAACCAAGTGGTTACAAAAACTGCAAGGGACCGTGTGGTTTATCAGCCCTGCAGCGCCTGCACACTCCCCCAGACACACCGACCGTGCTGTGCACTGCAGCCCACCTAGGATCCAGTTAAGCCAAGCACAAGCAGCTGCTGCAAAGCCAGGCCTGAGTTGCTTTCTTCTATGGCATCCTCTGCTCTGTACATCACAGAGGGTCTTTCGGAGACTTTTCTGTGGGGTTTGGCTCTTATGAAAGGCTCATTCTCAAAGAACTTTAGATACTAAGTATCTACTATGCTGGCATCTTTATTACAAGCTACCGGCCCCAATAAAAAACAATCCAAATGAAACTTTTTGGCCAAACTACTAAAAATTACCTTTTCTCAAGCACAATCAGGAACTTACTTTCCAATTCCTCCTTCTTCCATGAGAAAAGCTCGTTTGTTCTCATCTACTGTGAGATTGAGCAGAACTCCGCAGGCAGGAAAACAGACCTCTCGGTTCTTGGAATCGAGCAAAGCAATCACAAACTTGTATACTGGATTGTAAAAAGGAAACAATATTACTAGGAGGATGGATTTACCACAAAGTGGCATTACAACACATTTATAAGAAAGCAGTCAAATGCAAGATACCCTATCCAAAAATTCACCCTTGTAGCTTATTACTGTGACATTTATAGAGGAGACACTGACAGAGCAACATCATGCTGAACACCAGTTCCATTAAATCAACAAACCAGAAATTCTAGTAATAAAAATACACCAAAGAAATGTGAAAATCCCATCAGAAGAGGCTAAGTTGACCAAACTGAACTGCAGCTTATTTCTTGAAAGTATTACCCACCTTTCCATCCCAGAGTCAGCAAAAACTGCAAGAATTTGGCATCTGGCACTCAGAGGGGAATGTTCTTTCCCCTGTGAGTGCAGGGTTGCCCCAGACTGCACCAAGTCCAGCTGCAGGCGCAGCAGCCTGGGGCTCATGTGGGAGCAGCATCCCACAGCACCTGCTGGCACTGATGCCAGGGAGCTGGGCTGGCCTCACACAGAGGAAGCCTCTCACAATTCCTGAGCTCGGCACACCAACACCACAGTCTCTCCCAGCTGCAAAATTTAGTCCTTTGACTGAGACTGTTCACTGGGAACCAGCTACTAAGGGTCACTTCTCCCTTCAAGGTCACTTCTCCCTTCACAGTGCATACTGTGACATGATCACCTCACCTTCAGCACCAAGAGGCAGAGAGAAAAAAAAAATTACAATGAACTGGTGTCTAAGCTGATGACACACCTTCTGTGGATAGCAAGGAGTTGCCATTTTCCCCAAAGCTCTTTAGATACCCAAAGCAAAAGGACTTGAGAAGACTTGTATCCTATTTCACCCCAAGGCAAATAGGAAGTCTTTGCTGAGGCAGTCAAATCCTAGCCACATGTTACAAAGTGCTAACAAGCTGTCAAATATGGGAATCAAAAATCTGAGATTATGAACCTAAATGAGATTTTTAATTGGATTTTAATTTTATATCATATCACTACTAACCTGCAGTATCTGAAAAGATATTTGAGTAAAGGGAAATTTCAAATTTCAAACTCCTGGAAAAACAGAGTTTTTGTAATATTTACCTTTGTGAAAGTACTGTGGCATATTTTTCCTTCTCCGATATTTCCATTTCAATGAAACTGAAATAAAATGGTATTTATAATGCCTATTATTGGATTCTAATGTTTGCCTAATTTGCAAAACATCAGGGAAGATTGATTCTACCCTTTAACTGAGACAGCTTATTAACAACTTTTTCTTTATAGAACCATGGACATTTAAAAATAGAACTCCTACAAACTCACTCTTTCTCTGCACGATGAAGTCACGGATCTCATGATGCTGGGAAAGATTGCCAAAGACTCTGACAGCCTCCACAACTGCATCCATATTGTCACTCATTAGCAGCTTTAAAAGCACTGTTGATTTGCAGAGAAATTAAATAAAAATTGCAAATCACAAATACATGGCTCTTTTTTATCAATGAATATCAGAATGCAAACAGCAACATCAATAAATGTAAAAAATGGGAGCAGCTGTTTGTCTGCCTGGTGGCAGCAAAGGGGGTGAGTTGATGGTAGAACAAGAACAAAGCTGTGTACGGCTTCGAAGATAAAACAAAAAGCTCCAATATAGAACTAAATGCAAAGGAACAAATGAGGAGTTATGGAGACAGTCTAAGCACAGTTGTAATAAGGGCAGCCAGTTTCACTATGCAGTTTGAGTGGGCTAATGTGAAAATCCAAGAAGACATAATTTAAAAAAATGTTGTAATATATAAGAGAATTGATATAGATCCTGAACAGATGGTCTTATGGTGGGATGTCTCCTCAAGCTCGAATTATTTTCTGAGATTAGCTGTTTTCTCTCATACATATAACAACCAAACACATTTTCTCTGAACAACTACTTAATATTGTCCCAATCTGAAGCATTCACTTTCTTGCTGCTTTTCTGCTTTTCACATATGATCAGTGTGTGCTTCAGCAGCATGAATGAGACCTTCAGCATTTCTTAGGAAGAGCTACAATTGTGGAGGATTTTGGTGCATGGCAGAGGAATGATGTTTCAGAAGTTACATTTATCAGTCTCCTGTGAGTACAAAGCAAAACACTAAAATCAGTCCATGACACAGAGGACTCAAATAAGTCAACCCTTAGCCCTTCATATGACAGAAGAGAGAAAAAATATAGAAGGGAGGTTGGCTTTCTCCTCGTTACTTCTGCCTCTGGATGTTGCAATACTGAACACACCTTGAACTTGTCTTAAAAAGCCATCTGAAGGGATTTTGTCCACCATTCATATCAAACAGCAAGTATTCTCAAAATGCCTGCAGGAGCAGGAAGCCTGCTGGTCTTGCATCAAAAGGTTTCCTCTTTCCTCAGTTCAGGAAGGTGATGGGACTAGCTCCACATGCCAACAAACAGGACAGAAGTAATTTGTTTCCAACCAGCAACAAGAGGCAGCTGGCTTATAGGTGATACAAGGAGTCGTGACAGAACAGCAGAGATGTTACCTACAGAAACTATGATGTCTACTAGTCCAGGCACTGGGCTGACAGCCAGGATATTTCTTCCTATTCCTCATTTTATCTGTTGTGTGAACTTCAGGTTCTGTCTCTCCCCAATGTCTGGTCTATTGAGACAGATGTGCAAGACACAGCCTCTCTACCTTTTGTACAACATTAACACAACAGTCCCAGAAGTCAGCGCAGCTCCTACACATAACTGATTGCTGTCCACAATGTCAGAGAGGAGAGAATCACTCAATACAATATTGCCAATGGATTTACAACCCAGAAACAGACAGAAATCTGATTTTACAGGTACAGAAAGTAACAAGAAGAAAAAACCCTCTTGCCATACTGTGATTAGAAGGAAAAAGCAACATGATTATTTTGGCTCAGGTATATGGATTTTGAACAAATCTGGCAAAAACTGCTGAACAGAAAACAATATTGCAAATTCCTTTGCAGAAGAAAATAAGAGATTTTGTGAACAACCCAACTATTTTCATGTAAGTCATAGTGTTTCCAAAAAAAAAAAAAAAAGGGAAATCATTATTGAAAGAATTTAGCCCTATGAACTTTATACTCCTGCAATATAATACCACAAAATGTTATGTGTCTTTCTGTTGTTTCAAAATGTTTCTGCTTTCTAAAAGCTGTACAAAAAGTACTCATTTAAAAGTCCTTACTTTCAGCAATGTGTAGCTTCTTGTCTTGAACTGCAGAATTCTCCACTTGGTAGTAGGACAAATTGTTGATTGTTGTTGCAGCATTTATGACCAACTCTTCACATGCATCAACTGACTTGTATTCTAAGAGTGAAAAAACCCCAAAACATATGCATATGTAGACAAACACACACACATATCTAATTTTGCAGTGCATTAGATCCCAGAAGCAAACTGAGTAATGGTTTACACAGCCATTACTACAGTCAGACCTTCTGTTGTTCAGTAACATAGCAGAAGCTAACAGGAACACCTGATCCAAAAATGGTAATACAAAACCATTCTTCCCCATTATTAATTTAGAGAAGTCGTTGTGACTCAGGCAACATAGTTCAAAATTTAGTTAGTTAAGACATTTTACAAATCCTCTTTGCTGTTTTAAGATGGCACCGAAAAGAGTCCACATGCAGGAGCAGGGCTGTGTGACAGACATGGAGAAATGCCAAGGACTATTACACTGAACTGTCAGGTATCTAGGAAAAAAAAAGGGTAAAAAACCCCTTCAACAATATTTGAAAGATTTTTCTCTTAGAGTTCCTGACAGAATGTTAACCTGTCTAAAAGTCTGAAAGACTTATTTGTCTGAGGTCTCTGGTCTCAGAAGTTCATAGGGAGACAGAACACTTTGTAGTAAACTGACTGATAGAGTGCTCAAGAAGAGGAGAGGGTAGCAAAGTGAAGCTTTGAAGGTCAAAAGCACTTACAAAATTATCAGGCCATTAAGACAGTTTCAACCCATGAGACAGAACCAAGTTGTGAGTCTGACTTGTCTCATCCCTCATGACTGGTAAGACAGTGTACAATCAGGCTGATTACCTTAACATAATGTTTAATGTTCTCATTACACAGTAAAATATACTGAGCTGTTTAACATGTATCTTGTCACAGTTAAACTCTATTATGGGCAGAACAGACCAGCCCTAGTCTGTAATTAGATTTACAAGGGGATCAGTAAGTGGTAAAGGAACTGCAGTCCTAATTCTCCATTTGGAGGGAGACACTCTTCCATCTGAAAAGATAAAAGGTTGGAAGACTGAAAAAGAAGGAAAAAAGTAAGAGAAAATTCTTTGAAGAGGCTGAAAGTTATGGGTGCAGAGAACAGAAACAACACTTAATCCAAAACAGTCACAAAAAATGCAAACCTTTAAAAAAACCACATCACCACCAAACGCATCTATATAGCACCTGATAAGAACAAACTTTCCTTATATATTAACTCTCAGTGAGATGTGTTTAAAATAAAATTTCTTATCTTTAATGATCCTATCTGCAAATCTGATCACTGAATTAAAGACTTCTACAACATCTTTCCCCAGATACTGAAAAGTCAGTACCAAAGTAGCAATGCCTCCACTATCTCAAGCAGGCCTCCTACATGAAACAGTTTATGAACATCAGCCAATTGACTTTGGGGTTTTTTTTGCAATGGAAAGTCTTAAACTCTCCTTACAGGCTGAACAAAGATAACAAACACAACATAAATTTTATTACCTAGTACTGTAACAAGTAATCCTACAACAGGATGGGCAGCTGCCAGAGCTGCACCTACTCTAGGGTGAATGGAGAGGTTGGCCACCACTCTTATTAGTTTTATCAGAACATCTTCTGCTTCTGAAGGATACTTTTGTTGGTTTTTGCCTTTACTATCATGGTGCCGTGTCATTTCATTCAAATCAAGTTCATAGTAGGTTTGGAATAATGATGTCAAGGTATTAACACTTTCTTTTTCTTTAAAAAATTGCTCCCGGGACTGGTCATTCCTTGCTGTTAAATTACCAAGAATGAAGACGATACGGATAACCAAATCCTGTAACAAAATAAATAAACAAACCATGTTACATGGAAAACATCAGAAGGCGGAAGCTGCTTAAAAAGAAGATAATACTTAATTTGCTTCCCAATTCAGATAACAGCACATACAGAACAACTGAAGGAATGCCAAACACAGCAGCTAGAAATAATATTTTATGCTACCAATTTTCATAACCTGATTTACAGAAGAAATCAAAAACATCTGACAGAACTAGTATACCACTGGAGTAATTACCAATGCGATATACTTAGTAGAGGTCATCTATTTTTACCAAGCCCACAGTAATCTTAAAACATCTTAAAACCACACTTTATATAACTAGAATAATCATATGGGTTAGAATTTACTAATCTTTCAAGAAAGCAAGTGTCAACTGTGACAGGAAGAGACCACAACCATTCCTCTTCTAGGCCTAGTAACCATTGTAGAGGTTAAACTCCTTCCCCTTGATTTGTTACTCTTAAATCCAAATTAGGTTTAATTCATTTTGTTGTTCATTCTAATTGCTTACAGATAGCTGAATTATTTGTTCCCGATTTCTACCAGAAATATAATTTAAATTGACTGGTCTGTCATTCCTTAGTTCCTTCTCTTTCTCCTTTTAAAAACAGGCACCCTACAACCTTGCAATTCTTCTTGCAATAACTTTTCAAGAATCTCAGAGATTGGGTCCCCTTTCTGTCCTTTTGTAAACACCAAAAGGAAAATTACATCAGCTTGTTTGATGACATTTAATATGCTTGTTTGTTAGTGACAAAAGAATCCAGGCTAAAGTAGAGATTATTCATTTGGTCATACATAACCCTTTCAGAAAAAGAAGCAAAAAAAAAAAAATAAAAAAAGGCATTTCACATTTCACTATCACAGTACCTGCCAGTACTGCTTAGCTTCTTCTGAACACCAGAGAAATTATTTCCTTGCTGTCTTCTCAATCTACTATAAAAAGTTTTGTTTCTTGTTGTGTCCCTTTGTAGTTGCACCTCATCTTGTGCTCTGCTGGGTTTTTTTCCCCTGATTTTATATGCTCTTCCTACCCTTTTATTTTTATCATTGCTGAATGAGACCTACTTTCTATTTTTGTAAGGTGTCTTGAGATCTCATGATTTAATCAAGTTGCTCTCTTAAAGCACCTTGATTTTGTACACACTGGGTTACAACCTTTTAGTGGCAAGACAAGAGGATCCTAACTGAATGGCATTCAAAGACATCCCCATCTTTTTCTTAGCCACCAGTATGTGACAAGAAAAAAAAATTCTGAAAGTCTGAAGTAACTCAAGTTTAAACTACTTGAAACATTTCCCTCTGTCCCTTGCATCAAAATCTACTCATTTTTTAAAAAGTCTGTAGCTTTGGCTTAATGGTGCAGGTTAAGTAACAGCATTTCTTCAAGTACATGAGAACCATCTTCCTTTAGCTGCCAACCTCCTGTACTTGCATTCACCTAGAATTTTACTGAACAATTATTTCGCTGCATTTCTTCAAATATCATAATTATATTTACACATATTCTAACCCTCCCTGGTAATAGTAACATAAGTTAACCAGGCACAGTCTAACTTGTTAAAGTATACAAGCTAACACTGAAGGAAAAAAGATGATTAGGCATCATCTTTGATACCTGCTTTCATCAGTAAGTTTCAGGTCCTAAGCCTCTGCCACAAGACACTGGCAATAACATCCTCTCAGGAAGATGAATGCTATGCTTGAACATGACAAGCAGCAGTCTCCTACGTGAGGAACTGGTTTTCACATTCATGTATTTAATAATATCACTCTGTAGGACACACTTCCACTTTTTTAATTAGGCATCACATTTTTGTTAGGATCTAAATGTCATCACGACAAGTTTTTATGAATATTCTTAATGACTAACCACTAAGAGCTTTCACCTTTGCTGGCACAACACCCAACTCACAAAGGCTGTAAAAATTTGAAACAAACAACTGATGAATCAGAAGAGAGAACTGAAAAAAGCAGGCAATCTAGTTTGACTCGTTTATATTGACTTTCTAATTTTGGTCAAAATGGTATCAGCCCAGCAACAGCTCTACCCAATCAGGAAAGAGACAAACAGGTACCACACAGCAATCAACTGATATTTTCAGAAGTGTGATCTCAGCTGTGCTTTCCACCTACAGCCCAGCAAAACAAACTTATAAAATACTTATTTTTTTAGCTAAGCACATCCGGCTTTAATAGAATAGTACCGAAGTTGCATTATCTTCCAGTGAAAATTTAACCAGCAAGGTCAAAGAGGAAAGCTGCACAGCTTCTCCTGAGTAGTACAATACTCAAGGGTTTGTATTATTTTTGGCTATTTTCTTTAAATGCTCATGGGCAAGGACTGCAAGAGTAAGAAACACCATCTTAGAATGGCTGTGTAAAAAGATACATGCAAAGCTACATATTTTGAAACTGCTTGCAAGACTAAACCTGTGCAAGGCCCATGGGCCTTTCTGTACATAGCAAAAAAATCAATATAATAAATGAGATTACTGTTCATTTCCACATGTTTAGAGTATTAACTGCATATGGAATTTCAGACATTGTTTCACACTTACAGAAAAATTACATTTATCAGATCAATTTACATCATATGGAAGTTTAAACGTATTGCATTGAAGACAAACTCAATTAAAGATAGGAATTACACTCAGTTATTTCATCTTTTTATAGTGATGCATTCATGTGAGACATGATGAACACAGATGTACTGAAACCTGAGTGGAAGTCTATATACAAGAGCACACAGCTTCACCAACACAAATAAATTTGGACAAATACATCAAGAAAAGCTTTAGAAGATCTTCTTTCTTGCTTCCTATCTGTGAAGAAACTGTGATATTTTGGGTTTTGAGGTGGTAATGGCACCACTTACTCCATCAGCATTTAACTATTATTCTTCTGGCAACTGACACATAAACACTTGATCATCACGGATATGGAAGCTTTTTTTTTGCTTATCTATTTCTGAAACTGTCTTCCTTGCACTGCCCTAGTAGCAAAGGTGCCCCATGACCTGCTGAGTCACAGAACCTGACAACAGTTTATCTTGGCAATTAAAGTACACCTGCCTTTCAGCGTCAGCACGATGAGCACAGGTACAGGCTGTACAGGTGTCCTTATCAGTAAGGGAAGAAAGCAAATTAGGTCAGTAGTTTCTAACTAAAACAAGATCAACAAGGAAGGACAGTCTAATCTAGAACCTGTGAATGCTGGCCAAGTACCTGTTGTTACTTTATTTGGTGTCTGGGCCCTCAGAATGAGGGGGATAGTACAAAACAAAAGGTCAGATGCCAGCAGCTGAGTTCCTATTGAATCATCAGCTGCAAATGAAATCTGCTTTCCATGTTACCCAAATTTCAGTGGAGTTAGTCAAAATTCTACCACTTGCCCTGCTTCTCATTCAAATCTAATTTACACTTCACTTCCATATTTGTATTTCTGCTTTGTTATGCACCTTGGAAAGAAAACTTGGGAGTTTTCTTTGCAAGGTTAAATAGTCTACTTATAGGCAAAATTACTGCAGTTTTACTAACCTGGAGCTAATCTCTTCCAAATACAGTAAAGATTCATCTTGAAGTGACATTCTAGCTGGAAAAATTTCTGTTCAACCCCAGAAATGACAGCTGTCACAATATGAAACTCAATTTAAAGAATAAAAAAGGGGGAGAGGGCAGTGGTGTAGAACACACTGGAAATATCAAAAACAAACAGAGAACCTCTGAACTAAGTAATATGAAATAAGCAGCAGGGAGAAGCTTTGCCACAGTGACAACAGGGAGTACCTTGTCAGTAAATAGAGCCTCCTTCCGCCCCAAATATTAATGCATTTGAGGAGAAGGAGAGACCATTAGTAAAATGCAATTATCCACACCATAGGACCCTACTCAATAATTTCTACCCAATAATTTCTACATCCCAAAGTCTGATGTGTTCAGCTAAACTTTTCAGACTGCACTTAGTGAATTTCAGCAATCAAGAACTTGTGCTTAGGTTTGTTTGTGGACACCTGGAGACCTGGGAAAGGTAAAGAAGAAAAGCAAGCACACTGACACCAGACTAATATTTGATGAAAAGCTGTGTAGGCTCTCTAAAAAAACAGTATTTCAGAAATTAAATTAATTGGAAAAAAAAAGTTGAAAACTATATCCTCCATGGTATTGCTCCAATGACTGCTGATCTCTCTTGTTAAAATCTTTATTCTTATTACTACTTAAAATTTGAACAACTGTAGCCCCTATTTCTTAACAGCTCTTTTTTTTTTTTTTCTTCTACATTCAAGACTGGTCTTCTAACAGAAATGTCTTCCTTGTGCAGATTCTATTAATAGGCAGCTTGCTCATGGTCTGACCTTTGTCATGGATATATTAATTTCCTTGGGGCATTTTAACCCTAGTAATTCTTTTAGCTTTTTTAAAGAGGTGTTCCCTCTTTAAAAAAAGCTTTCAGCATTGTTTAGAGAAATTCAATTAAAAACTACAATAACATATTTTTATAAATGTGTCTCACCAAGCAGTAATATCTTATTATTATTATTATTGATACTCTATTATTTACCTATCTAGTAATTACATGCATTCACTTCCATCTTTTGATTCACCAGAACAGCAGGTTTCTATATGATGCATGCCAACTGGTTCATTACAAACTTTGAACACTGCATTTCTGATAATTTTACACTCAGTGTACAGATCAAACTTAACATTTTTGCTTTTTCTTTCAGCCAAAAAAAAAAAAAAAGAAAAAAGAGAAAAAAAAATCATAACTAAAGCTTTAGGAAGACATACTTTTCAGCTCAGCACACCGTCAGAAATAATACTGTAGGGAAAGAGTGACCTTCTGTAGTTATTCACCTTTATCAGCAGGGAAATTCCTTCAGAGTTGTTAGAATATCTATCCTAGAATTGTTACTCTCTTCTTGGAAAAAAAAGGAAATTCAGAGAGAATGATTGATCAGTTTTGAATATGCAAGTACACACATAAAACACTGG